GCTTATAAACACCCTCTAAAATATTAATGATAATTTCTTTAATCTTATTATTAGATTGTATGATTTCTACATCAGTCCTATATTTCCTCTGTGGTACCAGCATGTACAGTACTGGTAAATCCAGACTCTTGTGCTTATCCCGGTAGCTTCTACATCAGATCACGTGGTTTAGACTCACTTCAGCTGTTCTGAAGATCTTAGACTTATTTTTGATTCAAATCTGATTCTAGCTAGACTCAACCTGATTCTATTTTACTCTGTTAACAGTGCTTAACATCTGTTGTAATTTGACTCAGACTGGTTTTTGTGAGTTTACTCTGATTATGGCAGACTCCACTGACAGTACTGATGTTTTGTTGCAGGCCGGCTCGTCCATGATGGATCCAAACCACTTCCTTATGATTGTTCTGAGCAGATTTGAACTTTTTCACATCTTCAGTTCTGCAGACATTAGGAAACGATACAGAGAAGCCAATAAGGTCAGTACTGACTCTGCTGGTGTGTGGAAGAGATACCGAACCTTTGAAGGAGGTTCTGATGCTCTGGTGTCTGTTCCTCAGGACCTGGTCCAACAGAACACTCTAATAGAAGAGATGCTTCATCTGATCATCATGGTTGTTGGTGAGTGCTTCTGTGCTGCTGAAGACCACAACCATCAAGCTCCAGTGGCAGGTTGGACAGGTAAAACAGGATGTTTGTGTGCTACAGGTGAGCGCTACGTGCCAGGTGTTGGACAGGTGGAGCTGTTCGATGAGGTCAGAAGGGAAATAATCCACCAACTCTCGATCAGACCCATGGCTCACAGCGAGCTGGTGAAGGCTCTTCCTGAGAACGTGAGATACAAACCCAGAGTGTTTATTACCTGTTCACCTGAGTTTCACAGGAATATTCACTTCAATGTTGGACTAAGTGTAATGCTGCGTACACACCAAACGTGATTTCACTTTACATGCAAAGTCTATGATGGGCGCACATCAAGCAGCGCTGGGAAATGCAGCGGTGCATCTGGCACGTTTAGTGCAGCACGATTTGAGCGTTTTGAACGTTTGACGTGCTTGACGCTGACGCTGAACACTGAAGTTGGAATTTTAACTCACATCTGACTGTAAAGTGTACAAGCATCCAACTTGAAGTGTTAAACACATTTTTGACACTAAAATTGCATTCAATGTGAGCGCAGCATTACTTCCCTAAATATTTCAGTGTTTACCCAAGTTTTACTTACCTGTTTATGTTAGATGTTGGACTATTTACCTGTTTACCTGAGTGATCATAAATAATCATGTGTTTCATTTTCAGGGTAACAAGGAGACTGGCCTTGAGCAAGTCATCGACAGCGTGGCATCATTCAAGTCAGTTTTTTACACATCCACCTTAACAACCTGCAGTTCACCCTGTATATACCTGACTAACTCCTACAGCTATGACACTGACTGTAGCACTGACAGTAGCACTGACTGTAGCACTGACTGTAGCACTGACTGACTGTAGCACTGACTGACTGTAGCACTGACTGTAGCACTGACTGTAGCGCTGACTGTANCACTGACTGTAGCACTGACTGTAGCGCTGACTGTAGTACTGACTGTACACTGACTGTAGCACTGACTGTACACTGACTGTACACTGACTGTAGCGCTGACTGTAGTACTGACTGTAGTACTGACTGTAGCACTGACTGTAGCACTGACTGTAGCACTGACTGTAGCACTGACTGTAGCACTGACTGTAGCACTGACTGTAGCACTGAC